GTCAATATCATTGATTTTAATAACTCGGTTAATACCTTATTAGTAAACTGGTTGTGAAGTTTTAGTGTAGTTATCAAGAAGGCTAACCGTATTTGGTTGGTTCTTGGATAAGCCGCAACAAAGCATTGTAATAGTCAGCATATATGATGGTTACATGAGGGTTGAGTATCTTGAGTCTATTGAGTTCTGCCTGAAGTTGTTCGTCGCGGTATTCTCCAAACTTGTTTAGCCATTTCAAACATCCAAAAGAATCGTATTCTTCCATGTTTGATGTTTGATATAATGTCAAATATACTACCAAGCATCCGATAAGGAACTCTCCGGGCACCAGAAATGTTCTTCCCCCCATACCAATCAACTCCTGGATTCAACATAGTCCCAAAGCCACAAACACATAATATTTTTCTGACAAATTAATCAATGTGTTTTACTTGTTACTCATTTGACTAGCAGATCAAGAATACTATTAAAATGGTTACCGTAATTGCAGATGAAATAGTACTAATGACGAACGGAACAAGCTCTTTCGCCTTTTCTAAGGGTCTCAGTTCGAACAATGGCAAATTATAATCGTTCCCTCCAATCTCTCCCATGAGAATCAAAGCATTGCCAATTATATCTCTACAATCTAAAAACAAATTTAAACTTAAACCAAAAAATAAAAATTATAACTCTTCCACTAAAGTTGATCTTCTAGCTACCTGATGGCATGCAAAATAGATTTGGTAAACTCTCTTTGAAGATCTTAATCTGAACTTCTAAACTGATATTGTGCGGAGGATGGTAGCCTCTCTCTTCGAGAAAAGAACTGTTCAATGTCGTTGCTGAGACTACCGCGAAATTAACTCCTTTCTCAAAGTTTCCATTTTTGGATCCAAAGTAAGGAGGCACATAAGGAAGCCCCAAAAATTCAGCTATAAAGAAAAAAATTCACATTTATTCAAGAAATAAGAAAACAGAGAAAGATTTTTACATGTGAATTCAGTGAACAACAAAAAGAAAATATT